TTGTGTTGTAGCAGTTGGGAAGGCAGCCAGAACACATCCAACTCACAGTGCTAACACACATCTAACCTTGCCTGAGCACCTGTAGCAGCCCCCTGGCTCCAGGGACACCCAGGCCACCCCTGCTGCCCTAAACCCCCAAGCAGGCACATCCTCACTTCCTTGAGACCACAAGGCCTAAATTCAGGAGAGAGCTTTTACAGCTCTGATCGTTCGGACTCTTATCCCTGGGTAACACCCAGAGGGCAGTCAGCACCTGGAATTTCAATTCTGTGATGCAGAGTTTACAAGGCAGTTTACAACGCTGAGCCCATGCAGAGATACTGCTGTCAACTGTTCCGTCAACAAGTAAATAAGAAGTCTTCACAATGAGGCACTGGATGAGGGATTTATCGTGGATAATAGAGGAGCAAACATCTTCCTAAATGAAGAGATTTCTCAATGCAGCACAGCTTCTGTGCATTCGTCTATCTCCAAACCAATGTGTCCCCTGATGCTCTCCTCCTCCTCCCTGTTTACATCCCATCAGCTTTCATCTTCAGCAGTTTCAGTGCAGTTTGTCCCCCGAGCTCCTCTAGGTAACATTGCTCACTAGACCAGCTGATAGTCCCTACAGAGGAATGCCACGAAGTATGGGGTATTTGGGAATCCAGCACAATTCACAAGACTCTTCTGCCTGATTGTATCTTTTACTGTACTATACAGAAGGTCGAAGATACAGCTGTCATTTTGTTAGATGCTATACCAACATAAAGAGGCAAATCCTGCCTCAATCTATTTCAACTTAAATATATACATTGTACAAGTTACAGAGGAAACAAAGGCAAAACTGCAAATAACTCAATGCTCAAGATCAGGTCAACAACTTGGGAAATTATTTGTTAGTGGTATTTTGGTGATTTGAAAACAAAAAACTTTCCATCCCAAGCAAAACGTTTCCCTCAGCTGTTACATCCTTAAGTTGTTACATTGTTTCTGCCTACTTCTATTTTAAAAGAAATAATTACTTTTGAACAAGTAGGTTTTAATGAAAACCCAAAAATATTTCTTTGAAAGTGCCAAAAATGTAGTTTTCACTTCTTCACCTTCAATTTCCTTAAAGATTTTTGAGTAGAAAAAAAGATGGGTTTAAGTTCTCACACACCAGATACTCAGCTCTGCAAGAGACCTGGGTTCATTAAACAGTTTGCTGTCACATAGCTTTGACCAAAAAGTTTTGCACCATCACTGTCATCAGTTCTATCAGCACAGTTCAAAAGAGCTGAAAAGGTAACAAAGATACTGAATTTTAATCTGGTGTTCTGCCCACTGCCCCAAGTCGCTTTTCTGCCCTGCCGTGTTGGGAAACAATATAGACAACACCATTTGCCTTTATCATATTTACACTGCAATAATAATAAATCAAATACAACCCAGATGCCAGACAGCAGGTAGAACAAGCACGTACTTAAACTGCTAGAAAACAAGCAAATAAACAGTAAAGTAAAACGGTGCAGGAAAGGGAGGGAAGGAGGGAGGATTTCTCACCTTCAGCTAACTGCAGGAGGGCAGCAAGCTCTGCAGGGATCTCCAGCAGTCCCACGTCCTGCAGAGAGAGCGAGAAGTCAGTCCATCACTGGGGTGCCGAAGTGAAACAACATATAAACCCTGAGCTGTTCTGTCGAGACTAGGTAAAGTTGCCTTTGAAAAGCTGGCCAGAACAAGGACTGAGCATCTGAGCAAAATCAGTAATTTCTGCCCATGCAACATTCAGAAACATTACACATAGGGAAGTATCATATTAACCCAGGTAATATGACATGGGTCAGCAAATGAAGAACTGCCACAGGGGGAAGTAACAGGCAAGTTGACTTTCTTTGACTCATCTCTCATTATTAACAGGTTTGGCATATTGTACAGAAGAGATTGCGATTGAAGGGTAAGGGCCATTTCTTCCTGCTCCTTTTCCTTTCATTTTTATTTTTCAGTATCCAAGAGTGCTACAGCGTAAATAAAGAGAGACCTGATTCTGATCTTTGATGCACGCCACTATTTTGGAGGTTCCTAAGGAAGCTCAGATCTGTACCTGGGTAATTTAGATGAGAATCTGGCCAACGAGCCTTGATTTTTCACTGTTTTGCACCTTGCATGATGCATGCGTTTGTGCAAGGTAGGAAGTAAATGGGACAATGCAACACAATGTATCAGCATGAATGTCTGCATATAATGTCAGTTCAGGGTGTTTCAGACAGGACTACTCAGATTAAGACACTATGAAACCAAGCCAAAGGCACAAAGCCTGAGCTTTTGGGTTTTGTTTTTTGGGTTTTGGTTGTTGGGGGTTTTTTTGTTTTGTTTTTTGTTTTTTTTAAGATCTGCATAGTAAAGCCTCTAACTCAACAGCATACTATTCTGACATCTCCCTCCACATAAACTCTCAGCAATGCCTAGAGGTAGATTCACAGCTTTTTTGATCCGTTTGATTTTGCTCATAATAAGATACTTGACTTTAAATCTAGCTTTTCAATGGCGCGTTCAGGAAGTGGACTGTGAAATTCCAGAGTCCTGAATCCACACCTGAGGAAGCAGGTGATATTGCAAGAGCACCCAGTGCTAAGTATTCCTGTTGGTGTTACTGACAGATCTGTGCCAAGCCGTGGATGATGTCAATTCAGATTTCCTTGCTACACACATCATAGCAAATGTATGCCTGGTCTAAACACACAAATAATGACATTCGTTAGCAGTGTTACTTATAGTAGTTGATACAGGTTAAACACCCTGTAGACTATGCAGTTAATTTGTTATGAAGCCTTTAATACCTCCCTTCCTCTACAACACCTTCCATAAATATATTTGTGCAGAACTGTCTCATTCCCACCCTTCACAACAGAACATGATTATCAAAAATAGTCTTCCTCCCAGCTCCAAAGAACAGGTCCAGTGCTGTGACCAAATACAGCTGCCTCAGGACCACTTTATGATGCCCGACTACGCCCAGAGATTGGGAAATGCTGAACTAATGAGATAGTTATGTATTAGAAAGCTCTTTATACCAGGCTAAACCGCATTCTTGCTGCTAGGTTTCCAGCATACGTGTGGGCTCTGTACACTCTCCAGACGTTTTGCTGTTCCCCAGCAAACCTGGGCTGAGGAGGCATAGGGGAGGGAGAACACCCTGAGAGCCTGGCTTGTTTTATCTCAGACTCTCCCAGACTGTTTGACAACTTACCATTCCTTGGTTGGGACTGTTCTCTGTGTCACCACTGGCCAGGGACTTCCTTCTTCGTTTCCTTTCCTCTAACTCGTGCTGATGGAGATGAAAGGGGGATGGGGTGAAGATGTATATGAGGTCACTTCGAGCTACTTCTGGGGGCAGACTCCGCAGATGGGCAGGAGCTGGTGTCCTGCTCCAGCAGATAAAATGACAGAACAGCTGCAGAGCCTTCTTGGGACTCAACATGGTGTATTGAGAAGGGGATGCCCAGGCAAAGCCCCTAGCGTTGCTGAAACACCACCCGCCCTGCACAACACAATTCAACAGGGAGAGCCACCACCACCTGCCCAGCATCCCTGCCACACCTTTCCTCCCTTGCCTAGTATTTGATGTGTCTCAGGACAAAAGCACACAGAAGCTGTCAGAAACATTCACCTGCCCCCTCCAGCATCAAAGATTATAGTAACGCAGCCTGAACGTGGACAGACGAACTAGTCCATGGAGAGGGACCCCTTTAGATGGGGTGGGAGGGATACCAAAAGCCAAACTCCCTTGCAGCTCTGCCCTTTCCCATCCATTCTATCGTCCCCCAGCCTCACCACTCACCTGACTCCTACTCCAAGATGGAAAAGCAGGGTCTCTGTCTCTCCGTCTCCTTCTTGTCTATGTTGCAGAATGGTGTGACTAGATAGGAGGTTATGAGGGTTGGGCTGACAAAGACAGTAGGCATGCTAAAGTCCAAAGGGCAGGGCTGTGGGTGAGGGGGAAGGAGGAACTTTGCAGCAGGTGAACTTTGAGACCTTTATTGTTGCTGCTGCACGTACAGGGACCTCAGCAAGCAAACACTGGAGGAACAGAAACAGATTCAAAAGAGCTGTGCTGTTGTGGTTACCTGGGAGAAAGAAAAGCTGGATCCTGTCCAAGTAGGAAGGAGCAAGAAAAGGAACAGAAACACACACTGCTCTGGGCATGGCATGGCAGAAGGAACCTCTGCAGTCTTCCAACAACACTAACCTTAACCCTCTGCCCCGTGTTTTGCTAGTCATGACAGCAGCTGTGCTGGGTCCCTCCCTCTCTCGTGAAGCTGACAGCTATAGGGATGTTAGTTGCTACCCTAAGGATGAGTGGTCCGATTTCCCGTTTTCAATTTTCTTTTTAATAGCTTGTGCAAAATACATCCAACCCATTCGACAGAACCATGGCTCTCTCCTGCACACAGTTTTCCATCTCCTCAAACCACTGCCATCCTGTTCTCACCCCAACTATGGCCCAGCTGATTTCCAAAAGGCCAAGGACTTCAGCAGCCTGAGGTAGCTGTACGGTCAGGGAAGGATCACTGCAGACTGAAAAAATCTTGCATTTCAGTCACCATCTAGGAAAACACCAGAAATTGAACTGGACAACTAAAAGAGCAAGATGAATGACTCCTTATAGCTTAAGCAGAACAGCAGCTCTGGAGGCCACAGATGGAATAAGCTCACATCTTGTGTGGGGCAACCTAGAGAAGCTCACATACACAGACATACAAATTGGCTACATTTGTACCACCTTTGCCAATTCTGAACTTTTTTTTTTCCCCAGTCTCTGTGCTTCCTTCTTTTGACTACCTTTATGTCAGCCAGAGAGTGAAGGACACCTTGTTGGATTATTTCCAAGAAACCTTCTAAAGCCATCCCTGCCCTGGCCTCACCCAGTCACCAGCTCTCTCTACCTAGGGCAGAAATAGTGCTTGCAGTACACCTGGTCCTGAGAAGAGTGTGTAACCTGACAGCGCTTCCTCCTTTGAATCAAAGGTCTGGAGATTAAAATTACGGTATTAAATAGCACTAAAGTCTCCTTCAGCCTCCTGTAACGCTTCCTAGAGGGATGTGAAAAGAGAAGAATTGCTAATGAAGGAAACATCAACGAAATTTAAGCATACGGTGGACTCAATTCGAGGGTATGGACCAAACGGAACATTAATAAAACCAGCTAGTCTGGATTTGGTCTTATTGTGT